TATATAAGCCAGACTCATCTCATCCAGTGGTTCTATATCCTGGGAAATTTCCCCAAATCTGGGAATTTTTGAGTAAAATGTTTTGAATGAAAATTCCCAATTTCCCAAGTTGAAACATTTTACTCACAAATTCCCAGGTTTGGGGACATTTCCCAAGATATAGAAGCACTGTAAAAAAACTTTATCTGGGAATTTTTCACCAGATTTGGGAAATTTTTAGCGCTAGGTTGGGAAAAGTTGGCATCACGACGTAGAAGCACTGATCTCATCCTCGAGTGGGGGCAACGCTGCAGGAGGCTGAAGAAGGGCCCTGGGGAAAAGCAGAAAGGGACCGGATCCTGGAGGAGAAGGAGAGGCAGTCACCTTGGGGGAAAAGGTTCTAAGTTTGGAGAAAGTTGGCCACAGGCTAGGGCTTGCTTTCCCAGGAAACACTGGTCTTGCCTGGGAGATCAGAGAACGTATGGGGAAATGCTGCTAAAGACTCGTATGTTGCTGATGATAACTAAATACTGACACCCCCTTTTATAAGCACTCCTGTGTTCTCTCTGGCTTCCTTTCTCCCCAATTTTCCCGAGGTGGTTAAATCATACCAGGGAGTAAGTAGCTGGATATTGTCATGTTCTCCAAGGGAAAGGGATGATCATTTGCAGCAGCAGCAGCCACCTGGTTATAGGGTGATGATGAAAACTGCTGTTCACTGGTAAGAAGAATGCTCTTAATCAGGAGGGAGTGGCTGAGGCATCTAAGCTACAGTGCCTAAGGTCTCTAGAGCTACAGGTTGCAATCTCGGCGTGGTCAACTCAGCCCTTCATCCAAGGTAACGGAGTCCCTTGCTGTTTACTGGGTCAGATCCAGAAAGGTTTTGAGCTCCTGCTGCTTTTGCACAGGCTTTGGTCCAGTGTAGGCTCATTCAGATGCAAGCAGGCACTTTTTCCTAACATGAGGCCCAAGGTCCTCCTTTGGCCTGCCCAGGTACTGCCGGTGGGCCTGCAGATTGAGTCTTTGTATGTGCAGATGGGAACGGAGGTGTCTAGAAACCCATTTGTCTGTGCAAATGGAATGGTCGTAACGGCACTCACAAAAAGAGGAGTCTGAGTGCAGGCAGACCTTGGGCAAACCCCCGCCCATGCCAAGGACTAGCACAACGCTGTCTGCCAGTGATGGGATTTAAACTCCGAGGGGAGGTTAGTGAGAGTCAAGTTATGCCCAGGGCTCAGGCTGCATCAGGGTGAATTTCATCCTTTATCAAGGTTCTGCCCCAACAAGCCCACAGCCTATTTTGTAAGAGTCCGGGATTGCCTCAGTGTCCTAGGGCAACATTTCCCCTCCCAGAGCTGTTGGGCGGCGCCAGGGCTGCTGTTTGCCCGTAACTGAAAAGTTCCTTGGGAGGAAAGGTGCTACATTACTCCTCCCGGACCCAGTTTCGAGAGTGGCTCAGACGTGCTGCTCCGACATTTAATATCATGTCCCAGGGAGAAATCTCTTCCTCAGCTCAGCTGGCAATCGGTTTCGGATCTCCTCATATCTTATGCTGTCATTTGTATCCTCAGATATTGTTCTTCTCCATATAAATGTCAAATCCTTTTTAAACTTAGTAACCTATTTGCTTCCATCGTATCCTGCAGTGGTGAGTTCCACGGGTTATTTGTAAGTATATATATATATATATATATATATGTGTGTGTGTGTTTGTGTGTGTGTGTGTGTGTATGTGAAATGAAAGAAATAAAGCACTGGGTTTTATCCATTTGGCATTGGTTGCCAAACAGGAAACAGCTCGTGAAATTAACACGTCCTGAATGTTCTCTTCCCCCAAAGTTTTCTGGCTTTATCTCCATTTGGTTCCTGAGCCAGAGATATTTTAGCAGATCTGAAGTTTATCCACTTTCTTGCACTGTGATGCATTTAGTCCGTCACCACCTGATACGATCTTTCTCTCATTTCTCAGGTGATCGAGGCCAGAAAGGAGAGAAGGGAGACAGAGGTGGCGAAACAGGTAAGCGGCTGCTATTGTGAGTGGTAATTGCTGTTGCACGTCTCCCAAGGAGGTGCTATAGGCCCTGCTGTTGGCCTATTGTAGATACTGCAATGGGTACAGGGGGTGAGGAATTGCTTCTTTATTCTCCCCCAACATGTAAGTGACTAGTCTGTGCCCTGAAGAATTTGATGGGATTCCCACTTTGTGTCCCTTGTAGCTGTTCTGACCAGATGTTCTGGTCATCACAAGATTGACTCCTCCTTAACAATATTCTGCCGTTCTCTCTGGAGCTGCCCTGTGTGTAACACTGACGTTTATACACGGCCTGTGTTTATCCCTCTCTGTTGGGCTTCTTCAGTGTTCTCCTTCCGTATCCCTCCAGCTTAGTGTCCATTCCAGCTCTGCTCCCTCCGCTCTGAGGAGACTGTGTCTGCACCTGTGAAATGCTCCCCAGGCTTGGGTGTGGCTGAGACTCAACTTCCTGGAGCCAGGGCTCTTGGGTAGCCTGCGAAATCAAGCTGCGTGATCAGAGAGGCTTTAAGGCAAAGGTTATCCTTAAGAGCAGTTCTCTTGAACCTTCTGTGCGCTAAGGGCTTGCCTACGTAAACAATTAAGCTGTGGCAAGCTGGGGTGTGAATCTAGCCTGTAACTAGTGTTAACGGTTTGTCAGAGCACTTTGAAGCGAGATGAGCTCAGACCACATTAACGAACGGTTCACGCGCGTCAGCAGGGCGCACACGGACAATTTAGTCTGCGGCAGGCTCGTGCTGGATTGAGTCACGCCCCAGCGTGCCGCGGTCTAATGGCTCATATGGACAAAGATCTAAAACAATTTGGACCTGTGACGCTCCACTGACGCAGCTCCACTGGTGGTAGCAGGGGCGGGGTCTGCCCTTTGCCACTGTGGAGTCGAAGCCTCTTCGGACTGTTAAGGAAGCTAAGTAGTTGTGAGGTGAGAGAAAAAGATTTAGCTGGGGTTGGTCCTGCTTTGAGCAGGGGGTTGGACTAGATACCTCCTGAGGTCTCTTCCAACCCTGATATTCTATGATTCTACTGTCATGGATCAGGAAGGAACTGAGACGGAGAACAAAAAGTAGGAGCAAATCATCCATCTTCATCATGGCCAGAGGTTAACGGCGGGTACCACAAGGCTCTGTACGAGGACCAGTGTTTACTAGTAATCTGGAAAAAGGGGAGGATAAAGTGGCAAGATCTGCAGATGACACACAATGAACTGGGTTTGACTCATTGAGTCTACAAGACTATGAGGCCACGTCTACCCTACAACGACCCAGCTGCAGTTGTGCCGCCACGGTGCCGGAGCATGGACATTTCCTACATCGACGGAAGATGTTTTTCCATTCTGTGGGCAATCCACCTCTCCGAGAGGCGGTAGGTAGGACGCCTCAGTGTGTCTACATTGGGGATTGTCTCCCTAACTACATTGCCCAAGCGTGACATTTTTCACAGTCCCGAGTGATGGAGCTAGGTTGATCTAGTTTTTACATGTAGACCAGGCTCCATGCCAGCTGAAATTCAGTACTGACAAATGCCACGGTAATGCACCTCGGAAGACATAATTCGGAGTGCTGGTACGCAGTGCTGAGTCCTCCAACATGGAGGAGATGAATTCTGCGTGCCTGGGGACTGAGGCGGGAGGTAGACATATTTATCACCATACACACTTGTGTACCGATAGTGCAGCTGTTCCAGCATAGCCTTTATTCCACTGCCCAGCATCTCTTATTAATATCCAGATATTGGATATTGGAATATCCAGAGCAAAATCTTCCAGCGCTGTTAAACAAAACATGTCCAGGCTGATTCCGCTGCAGCAAAGGCTCTTGGCAGGAGAGGGTTGGCTCCATCGAGGCTAATCAGGATCAGGATGTTGATACCTGCAGCTGAGTCTGACTTTCTGCCTCCCGGTTCTTCCCTGGAAATAAACAAGGTCGGTGGATCAAGTTCAAATCTGCGAATTCATTTGGCCTTGCACATTTATTTGTTTTTACTGGCAAATTAGGCTTGTTGCCTCTAAACTGGCTGTAGAGTGCCAGAGTTTTGACCTTGTTCCTTCCCGGGCACAACCCTTCCAGAGCAGCCTGTCCTCAGGCTCCGTCAGTAATGAACACCAGACATCCCCTTCCGTGCACTAGCACGAGGGTGTTCTTTCACTAGGACAGCATAAGCATAGGGATGGGGCTTTGGGGCTGACCTAAGACTAACAGAATCAGGTGGTGACGTGTCCTTTATAATCTGGGCTGGGACTCTGGAACAACCACCGATCCCAGCCGAGCCATCCCAGGTTTTAGGGGACTATCCAGTGGGAGCTGGGACCAGATGTTACGGGGAGTGTTTAGCGACTCGTGCACAGCTCTCCAGCCCAGCTGGATGTACTGAATAAAGCTGCTAGGTCTTTGCCTTAGCTAGCCATGGTGTATTCAATGTAGGCTGGGATGCAGCAGTGGCAGAAGCCAGTGGCCTGGTGGGCTAGCAATTAGTAGGCTGTAATACCATGTGGGAGGAGGCGGGGTTCTGTTCCTTTCCCCAGATCGGCAGCAGTTGGCGGGGCCAATCCAGGAGAGGCTGCATCCAGCCTTCTTTCACCAGGAGGGCTGCAGCCATAACCTGAGGATGGAGGAAGCAATAGGGAAGGGGAGCGGAGTGGGGGGAGCTTGATGGGCTCACAGAACCCAGGCCCTGAAAAACACCAGGATGCAGATCCAGACTCTGGATTCTTCCACCTCTGGATCCTGCCTCCCATGACAGCTGTGCTCCACCAGAGCCAGGAAACAGCCGAGAACTTTCCCCGGGGCTGGACCTAGCCTGTGGAACTCACTGCCACAAGAGACAAGTCTACCCACTAAATGCAAGACTCATCCCTTTGACTTAGCTTTCCCGCCCTACGTGCTTCATGCAGACACACACGGACGACAGACTCCTCTGCCATCAACCCAAGCTCTTTCTCCGGCCGCTGGGAAGGGAAGCAGAGCGAGAAATTGTTGTTCTCTATATTTCTTTTTAACTCCTTAGGAAGTGCTCAGACCTGGCACGGATGGGCCCTCTGAGCGGACAGAGTGTGAGCTGGGGCACTGGCAGGGAAGAAAGCCTTCTCTGGAAGCATGAAATCACTACTTCCAGGAATGCGTGATCCCTCCCCTGCAAGCTGGGGACACGCCGAACTCTCCAATAGCCTCCTCGTGCCTTTGAATGGCTTTTCCAGGAATCCCTGCCCTGCAGAGGCTGGCCCGGAGGAGGGACCAGCCAGAGAGTCCTCTTCTGGGAAATGAGAAATCCCAGAGAGTAACCAGTTCCCTCAAGCTGTTTGTTTTTATTCCGGGCGTGGGAGAGGGACTGGAGGGTAAGCCGTGACATTATCTATGGGGCAGAGATCCTGGACGAGTAAACAGAGCCCAGGGAGTGACACGCTCTCATCCCCTGCATATGCTTCTGCAGGGACGGGAGAAGTGAACGGCAGGGGGGACGGCGCTGGGAAATAGGGGCTGACTGGGGCAGCGGGACCGCCCGGAGGACAGAAGGCTCAATGGGCAGAAGGCAGTTAGTGCATCAAAAAACAAAGGAGCCAGGCCATAGGCACCGAGTCTGTGGGTGCTCTGAGGCTCAAGCACCCACAGGAAAAAAATAGGGGGTTCTCAGCACCCACCAACCACAGCTGTTCAGCGGGGGCTGACGATCAGCTGTTCGGCGGCTGGCAGGAGGCACTCGGGGGAGCGCAGCGAGCGGTGGGCAGGCGGGGGGCCTCGGGGGAGGGGGCAAAGTGGAGGCAGGAAGAGGTGGAGCAAGGGCAGGGCCTTGGGGGGAAGAGGTGGAGTGGGGGCGGGGCCTTGGGGCGGAGCGGGGGTGGAGCACGCACCTGGAAAAATATACATCCGCGCCTGTGAGCCAGGCAATGAAAGGAGGCTACAGGGTCAGGGTAAAGCGACAGCAGGATGCAGCCGAACAACGGGGAGCGGAAAGCCTGCGGCATAGAGGGGAGGGGGCCGATGGGGAGGAGAGCCGCCAGGAAGGAGCAGGGCTGAGCTGGCCCAAGATGTCCAGGTGGGCCACACCTGGGAGCCATCCAGTGCTCCAGGTGGGGCCTCTGGAGCTAAAGTAATGGAGCAGCTGAGCTAGGAAGAGGCTGCTCGCACCCGTGGGAAGGAGGTTGCTGCTGAGAAGAAAAGGAGTTCTCCCTAGAGAAGCCCTACAGTGGCTGAGGCTGGGAGGAACCCCCAGGGAAGAGCAGGCCTCGGCGGTGGGGCAAACCCTAGGTGAGCCCCAAGAGAACTGCCCGGTTTAGGATTGCCAGGCGCCGGTTTTCTACCGGAACGCCTGGTTGAAAAGGGACCCTGGTGGCTCCAGTCAGCACCGCTGACCGGGCCATTAAAAGTCCGGTTGGCGGCGCAGCAGGGCTAAGGCAGGCTCCCTGGCTCTGCGCGGCTCCCGGAAGCAGCCGCCATGTCTGGCTCCTAGGTGCAGGGGCGGCCACGGGGGCTCCGTGCACTGCCCCCACCCCGAGCGCCGGCTCTGCAGATCCCATTGGCCAGGAAACACGGCCAATAGGAACTGCAGGGGCAGCACCTGCGGGCACGGGCAGTGCGCAGAGCCCCCTGACCCCTCCGCCTAGGAGCCAGAGGGACATGCTGGCCGCTTCCAGGAACCGTGCAGAGCCAGCTGCGCTGCCGACTGGGAGCCACCTGAGGTAAGCGCCGCCCGCCTGGAGCCCGCACCTCAACCCCCTCCCGCACCCCAACCCCCTGCCCCAGCCCTGAGCCCCCTCCCGCACTCCGAGCCCCTCAGCCCCAGCCTGGAGCCCACTCCTGCATCTCAAAACCCCTCATCCCTGGCCCACCCCAGAGCCCGCACCCCCAGCTGGAGCCCTCACCCCTTCCCGCACCCCAATCCCCGTCCCAGCCTGGTGAAAGTGAATGAGGGTGGAGGAGAGTGAGCGACGAAGGGAGGGCGGATGGAGTGAGTGGGGGCGGGGCCTGGGAGAAGGGGGCAGGGCATGGGTGGGG